CTTTTCCACATCCACAGAAACATTTCGGTACCAGAAAATACCTATTGTATTTGATTTCCGGCTTTCTCAGAACCACTTATATTAAATAACTTCAGGGAATCTTTTCTTTATGAATTTCAAGCTGGGGCACAGAGAGACAGAAAACCAAGCAATTGCATTATCTTTTGGAATAGATATAATTTCTTTCAAATAGGGAAGAAATCTGCTCTGGCAGAGCAAGGAATAGTCAGGCACTGGCCCCTGAACTGTCTCTTCAGTTTGCCCATTCAATGGATTAATGGCACACCAACATTCATGCCTACCACATGATTTCTTTCATTACTAAGAACTGCTCTTATCAGGAAAATACTAACATTTGCTTAGCACCACTAATACAAATAGAAAAAATTCTTTGTTCACAGCCCAGCAAGACTGGTTCCATGGCTGTTGTCTCACTCGGCCAGATGAGTGACAGCTTCCAGGACAGGGATGAGTGTGCTGTGGGGTAGAGGCAGAGGAGAGATCTTCTTATGGCCTGCAGAGAAGCCTGAAGGGAAATGGGATTTGCTTCTTGAAATCCAAAAAAAGGGAAAAAAGACCCAACAAGCAAACAAACCCGATTATATGTAGATTCATCATTGTCCAAATAGCTAATAATTTGATAACATGCCTGCATAATTTTTGGATGAATTGAATGCTACTTGGTGTTGTTCCTAGGGGAATTTTATCAGTAAAAACATTCTTTCCTGTGTGAGAATTGAGACATCTCTAGGACAGTGATTGCTGAAGAGAAGAAAACCAATAGAAACCAACTTACAGCCAAATACAGCATTAATTCATGTCTCCAGAGAGATAGCAAAACATATGTTTTGGTAGCATCACGTGGTGAGCAGAGAGAGGAAACCTTAAGATCTCTCTGGATTATCTGAGATCTTTCTCCTCTATTAAAACATAACCTTTATTTTGCCCACTGAGAAATCCTTTTGGCATTTCACAACATCTCTGAGTACCTTGCCCCAAGGCTTTATAAAACTCCTCCTTCCAGCTGGCTTTGAAATTGTACAAATTCTGCACAGTGTCTTGAGTAGTGGAAATAACTTGTTTGTCCATTTGCACTTACTGCAGATCAGAGGAGGCTCCCCAGTCAGGACTCTGGGCAGAGTTTTCCTATGCAAATTCCAGTAAAGTGAACATCTTTTGTGCTAAATATTCCCACGTGTTACACACATTATTCCCCTGTCAAAAACAGTTTGTGCTGAAGTGCCTGGTTGTTGTAAACAGGGGACAAGGAAAATTACTTCAGAGGAAGACACACACACACAGACACACAGACACACACAGACACACACACACAGACACACACACACACAGACACACACACACACAGACACACACAGACACAGACACACAGACACACAGACACACAGACACACACACGTGTGTGTATTTCTGCTTGAAGCCGTAGGCAAACCAGCAGTTTAAATCTGTCTTTGGAGACTGTAGGCCAAAGAGAGCTAAATAGGACATGAAACTCACGACATTATCCAACAGATGGGGTTTAATTTTGCTACATCTGTTGGCAGATATATGGAATATGAGAATAGAGGATGGCTGATAACTGCCCAGGAGGGGCAAATCCACAGGCAGTGAAAGCTGAATGTCAGGGACGTGATGCCCAAGGCAGGTGTCTCTAGGCATAAAGCGAACTCTTTTCTTTCAGTCTGTCAGCTCAATAGCATTTGTTTCTGTATGTGAAAAAGGTATTTCCTCTAGAGATGCTGCAGTCATCTAGCACGGTACATTCTGCAGGTATTGGGAGCTGGGAAATGAAAAATTAGTTTGGCAAATTAGCAGAGGGTTAAAAAGTGAAAGTCAGCATTTTCAGGATTGCACACAGATTTAGGAGGGCTCAGTTTTTGCATGCTCAGCCTGAAACAAATAATGGCTCCAATGCTAAAGGGCTACGCCTGGCCCCCCTACCCCTCTTAGAAATTCCAGCTTTTCAGAGTTTTCAGACCTCATAAAATCCACACATTAGCTCTTTTGTATGTAGTTAATGCCTACAGATTAAGTGCCACTACCATTACTAGCTTCTGGAAAATGTCCCTTCCTGTTTCCACCTTTATCCTTTACATTTGACACCTCCATACAGCTAGCAAGATGGGGTAGTGCAAGTGAGAACTGTGCTCTCAAACTCTCTTCTATTCTCATTCAGCTCTTTGTTGGTTTGGGTTTGTGGGTTTTTTTTCAAGTTAACAATAAGCACTTATATTTAGGACTGTATTCAAAAAGGAATTTCAAAAGGTGGCAACAATGGATTTTTCATTTTTGAAGTGTCATATGCATGGACTTTTTAATAAGGTCTTTCTGAGCATATCCTGGTTAGTCTGTTGCTAACTTATTCCTAATTTATTCATAGTTTACGTGCATAATCATTTTAAAAAGAAGTTATACAAAGACCTTTCACCTTGCTCAGGAAGTGAGAAAGCAGCTTTGCACCTGCAGTTTTTTCACTGTACCTCTGCGCAGTGCCTGGTGTCTCCTCAGTTAAATACTTCCTCGAGAGAAGCATAGGCATTTCCTATTACCTGCTGCTTCTGCCATTCACAGATAAGAGGAAAAGGCCCAGCTCATGCTTAATTTGTGCTAGGAATCACTTCAGTAAACTGAGGGCTGTTTAGAAGGCACAGCCATGGAATGGTGGATATCCATCTGGCCCAACCAATTCAGCCCCAGACATGACTATGACAGTACGGTAAATTCAGAAGACCAATATAGTTACCATCCTGTCCAGCAAAGGCTCACATTTTTCATGACTTTACCATGAACTCAACTTTGTTACTTCTCCCCAAAATGACTTTTAGTTTAGAGCTAAGCATAAATGCATAGTGTCAACATAATTGTTTTTAATATTTTTTCCTGGTCCTTTATTTAAACACAGCTACATCATATTGACAAATATCTACCAGATTTCCTCCTGCCTTTGTACACAAGCATGTGATCATCCTTTTACAGAATTGCAGAATCAATTAGGTTGGAAAAGACCTCTGAGATCATCAACCTGTGACCCAACACCACCCTGTCAACAAGACCATGGCAGCAAGTGCCACATCTGATCTTTCCTTAAACACCTCCAGGGATGGTGAATCCACCACCACCATGGGAAGTCCATTCTGATGTCTAATCACCTTTTCTGTGAAGAAATTCCTCCTAATATCCAACCTAAACCTGCCCTGGTGTAGCTTAATTCTGTAGCCATCTGCCTGGGAGAAGAGGCCAACCCTACCTGGCTACAACCTCCTTTCAGGTAGTTGTAGAGAGCAATAAGGTCACTCCTGATCCTCCTTTTCTCAACAAACAGTGAAATTTTTGTTATATAGTTCTTTCTTCTTCATACTGTTCTTCCACAGCTTCCTATATCTGTGAAATACAAATAGTATTGTGTATAGGCTTTCTCAGGCCAAGGAGAGATAGGGAATGGAAGAAGATTAATTAACCGGAACTCAGTCAAAATTTAAGACTAGAATTATATTGTTTAAATATTCAGTTTATTTCAGAGGCAGAGAATAGCAACTATAATTTTAGTAAGGCTAGATAACATGGAGAGAAACACAGAAAGTATCAGTGGTCTTTCCCAGCATAAATGGCTCTTGCTTGTAAGCTATGAAAATCTACATGATGTTATCATAGAAGTAATTATAAGTTTACTGTCTAAGGGCCACTAAAATGAATTAAAGCGTTTTTTAAATTTTCCTGACTCTTGAAGCTGACACTGAAACTCTTGTGTCACATTGCTTGTTCAGTTAAGTTTCCCAGTGAAGTCAGGAGGTGGGGAGGCATTTACAGCATGAAGGAATACATGACCAGCTCTACAGGACATATCAATTTTGATGTGAACTGAGAAAAATACCCGTGCTGCGAATATAACTATTAACCTTGAAGCTATGGTACTGACAGACAGTTGTATCATTTAGGCACTAGGCAGAGAATGGAGTGGCCATAGCTCTGGGAAACTGAAAAAGGTAATGAGAGGTAGCAGAGAGTTAGATCACTGTGCTCAGGTACTGCTGCATCCCAGACGCCCCTTCACTGTGACCTCTGGGCACGGCCTGATCCCTGCTTGGACCTCGTAGGGCATCACGGGCACATCCTTGCGTTTATGGGATGCAGCTGTAATGGACCCATGTCCCAGAGGCTGCTTTTGTGTGAGCTTAAAATGGGAAACCAGAAAATAAGTAGTTAATGAGATAAGGAAGAGATGCTTGGGAAGCCAAAGCTCTGGTCTACTGGTAGCCAGAATCAATGGGATTCAGTCCAATAACCTAAAAACAACTGCTCTGGAAAAAATTCAACTAAGGGCTTTGCAGGGTCAAGGTGGACTGCTCAGGGCTTGTATGGGGATATGTGATGGTTGTATTTCCTATCATTCAGAAAATATACATTGTTGTACTCTGCTACAAGCAGTGATGGGTTCCAATGAAATTATGAGAAGGAATGCAAGTAAATTTGGAAGGGTTCAGAAATCAGAAGTGACACAAAGGAGCTCCAGGAATTTGCAAGTAGGAGTGAAACATGATTATGTTTGCAGTGGTTGTAGTGGAAATATGTTCCTTTACACTGGGCTGGTATGAGCTGCTCTCGTGTAGCCTGAGGCAATTTGGGAGGCCCACTGATGAAGCCAATGCACTTACAAAAGCGTAAATCCAGTGAAAGGGAAAAATTAGGAGCTATTATTGTGACATATATCACGAAAGTATATTTACAGAGAATATAAACAGAGATAACTGTTGAATATAGTTGTTCTTGAAAAGGTTTTGCTTGTGCACTGTTTGCCCAAGCAATATCCTGCTTATCATAGGCTGAGTGCTTATTTAATGAAATCAGTTCCTGTTTATCTGCAGTTTCTGATCTATCTGTCTTTCTATCTGTATTGTAATGGTCTGGTTTGGGATTTTCAGGCTAGTACTATGCAGTTTTTTAATCTAAGCCTGTGCCTTTCTTTATGTCATTCCCAGGCCTGTTCAGAGGTCCCTCCCAGGTCCAACATGCCAAGGCCTCCTTGTTGGACTCCTTGTGCAGCAGGAAGGATCGTCAGTATTTCTTACTGAAGTAATCTTTTTCTCCTAAGGTTCTGTCAAGCTAGACACTTTAAAAGGTATGTTAAACTGACAGAATTCTCTGGGTTTTACTCTTCTTTTAATTCCTGTGTTTGACTGATCCATTTCTCTTGTCTGGTCTGTCAGCTTACTCTTTATTCTCCCCTGCTCTAAACATGCTGTTTTTTCCCTTGGAATTTTTCAGGTTTCTACTTTTTTTTTTTTTTTTTTTTTTTTTTTTGTGAGCAGCATCTACACCCACAGTGACAGCACTTTTTTCCTCTCCGCTCACCAACTTCACTCTGAATAGTTGGGCTTAGTTTTTTCAATATTAAAAAAAAAGAAAAAAAAAAAAGAAAAAAAAAAAAATTCTTGGAGTGTTTTCCCCTCTCCACTGTTTCCAGATAATGCTGTAGTGTATATCTTCCAATATGGTAGCTGGCCTTAGTCCCTTCTCTCTGTCCCCTTTACAAATGAATTCATTGAGATTAACACAACTTGAGGCAGAACATCTATCCCTGTAGAGTGCTGTATTTCTGAATATAAAGAACAAACCCAGCAAGAAAATTATAATAATGATACAATATTGGAACTGAAATAGGATTGTTATTGGGATTCACGTGGGTGATCTCCAGATTCAACTCAGCTCTCACAGGAAAGGATGTTATTGAATACAAAGGTTTTATTTTTCCCAACTCATCACATAGTCAGTGTTTCACCAGGATGACAAGAGATGCTATACTGCAGGGCTTCTTTCACTTGAATGTAAAACCAAATTTATGACTGCTTATGGTCACTGATGTGTCCTGGCATACTTCCAAATGTTGGATCATTAACCTTTCTGTCAGAGCTAAAATCCACTTGTATGATTAAGTTATCTTTATCTCAAATTTCCACTTGCAGTTTCACTCGGGGGAAAAAAAAACAACCCAAACCCAAACAAACTCCTATTCTTCCCTTCCTTTCCTTCAGAAAAGAAAACAGTTGTGTGTAGTTGCTGTCAAACAAAGGTGACTTGGTTCTTCATTTGTCTTTTATACGTGTTTTTGTTAAATACAGTAGTGTAGTGTAGATCTAATCCTTCATCTCTGTGCTTTATTCTCTTTGATTCTGTGTCTAAATCACAGAATTGAGTTTAATACTTTTTATGTCCTTATTCTGCATCCATGACTATTCCAAAGATATGTCAGGCCAGAATGGCAGCTTTCATGTCTTTTGCACTCCTGACAAAAAGTTATGGAGAGAGGGAAATACTGTGGTTTGTTATGAGATGCTCTGGGGTTTACCTTCAAAGACAAGGTCAAAGCACCTTTTAGTCTTTGGAAAGAATAACTACAGGTTTTGGGGAAGTTCTTACTGTATGAGAAATTTTATGTGATATTTTTGGTGCCATTTTTCTTCACATTTTTCCTCTTTCTACATAGCACATTCCTCAGTAATTTAGTACTTTATGTCATCTGTATAATCTTCTACTAGGATTTAATGTGATACTCATACCTGGAGAGTGCACCCCACTGTGGAAACGAAAAGCTCTGAAGTGCAGGCAGGCAGCAGAAGGCACCTCACATGCAATCAGCAGTGTGTATGCTTCCAGGTTTAAATAACACTTATGATTTGAGACTTGTACCAGTGAAAGCAACGTTGTGACAGTTTGGAGTATCTGCTTACACAGGTCAGAGGTAAAATGTGCTAGGAATTTGCTAATGGCCATTGCTTTCAGCTACTGCCAGTGTTAGCATCTGAAAATCCTTTTTTATTCTGGCACAAGTAACATCATCTGTAACAAAAATTCTAGCAGGGCAAAATCTTTCCTACTTTACCATTTCTGCAGCTTCATTACCATCAGATACCTCAGTTTCTGTCACTTTTTTCTTTCCTTGGATATCCCTAAAGGGAAGGATATGGTGGAACTGCACAGAGACTGTGGAGGCACATCTGGACTGGCAGCTGCAGCTGTGTTAACAGTTTTGTTATGAGCGAGGACAGAATCCAGCTCAGGCACAGTCTGCCAGATTGGCATGACTAGCAAAAATAAGACACAAGCTAAGACACACTCTTGTCACTAATTCATGTCAGCTTGTCTCAAAATGCATCCATTCCCACAATTCGATAGAGGCATAAACTTCAGTTACCTGCTCTGCTGTTGGGAATTTGGGCATTGGTTCGAATGAGGGACTGCTTTCTGTTTATTTTTTTTGCCAGAGCAGAGAAAATGTTTCTAACTACTCCCAAAGTGTTGTTGCTGCTCATTCAGTGTGTTTTTCTTCTCTCATAGAAGAGGTGATGTCCACATGGATTTGCATCAATTTTGGTATAACCATTTGTATTTGACTCCTTGCTAGAGCCCATCCCTTTCAGCTGTGCTGAGCACTAAGAACCTGTTCTTGGCAGAGACTATGAATACCAAAAAAAAGCAAAAAAACCAGAATAGTTTTTTTCATGAACAATAACTGAGGCTGACAGCTTTATACCCTGCACGGGAAACAAAAATCAAACTGTGAAGGAGATACACTAACCAAACTTTTCATAGCTAAAAGTGTTAATGAGAAAGTTTTGTAAGTGATAGTTTTGCCTTGTTTTTTTCCTTTTAAGCTATTAGGGAAAGTATTCTGTATTTAGGACTACAATCTATCTCAATTGTATGTAAGAGAGAATTTACTATATAAAGTAATGTCAATAATTGGATAATAAATAACATCACTTTTTTAGATATATATGGAACCTGCAGAAAAATACAAATTGCTTTCATGAATTGCTGTGCTCTTTTAGCAAGGAGTAACATGCACTTTGGTATAAGAAATAGCATATGAAATGTTAGCCATTGTATGTTATGCTTCGTAAACTATCTCCATGGAAATGCAGAGTTCACTTTCTTCTTTGCTCAAAACCTGTTTTGGGTAGAGATTGATATTGATTTGAAATGTAAATCAAAATTTCCCCCTGAATCAGAGGACTTCATTAGTCATGCATGGCATCGTTCTTTCCAGTATGACCTCTGTTGCAAAATGATGTCTTTCTACCATTCTCATACTGAGAGTCAGCAATGAAGGAGAAAGGCTGGGCAGCTTTGAAAAAGGTAACCATGTGTCTTGAGTGCTTATTTCAATATTTTCTGATGCAAAAGCAAAGCCACATCAGAACTAATTTCACTGCCTTCTGACAGTTTGCTTCACTTCTTCCACAAAGTACTAGTTGTGGGAATTCATTGAACAGAAATTATACTGCTCATCCTGTCCTAAGTGAAGCTCTTACTTTCATTTGAATGTGTGAGTGTTGCGTGGAGTGGAACATCATTTAACATATACTATAGGATATTCTAGCCTCTGATGCCAATGGTGCACAGCTGAATACTAAAATCAACAGAGAATTCAGTGTACTATAACATTTTTTTCACAGCACCTCTTCCACAGAGTGCAATTGATGTCTTTGATTAGTCCAGTTTTAGCACAGAGGATGGTGCAGTTGCTTCTTTGTCTTGTCTGGAAACAATAAAAAATGCAAAGTCTGATATTTTTAGTTAATATTTGTTGACTATAGGCACTACTCATTTCTGCAGCCCCACCGTGCACTTAAGGATTTCTGTAGTGCAAGGTGAATGCATTCCATAATAGGAGTAAAATCCATTTTCCCTTCTAAGGAATACGCACAAACATCTATGTAGGCGAGTATATATTTTTATTTCCATTCTAAGAAATGTACAAATCCAGCATCAGGTTCTAACACTCTAATTAATTAATTTTAATTAATCTTAATATATATGTACTAAACAAGCTTCAGTTGAATGTTTTTATTAAACAGAGTTTTTAAAAGATAAAATAATTCATATTCATTTAAATTAAAATGGCAATGAGCATTTTCTAGCATTCCTAAAATAACAGTTTTAAAACTTCTAATTACAAGACAGAACTGTAAAAATTCCTAAAAAATTATCTGCTCAAATAATTTCATTATTTATAATAACAGAAAGTCTCAGTGGAGATTTCAAAGATCTCCATAATAAAAAAAAATATAAATATAATAGCCTTTGTCTTTTGTTTTTTCCTTTTTCTTTATCTAAGTCATATAAATAAAAAAATGTAAAGCATTTTGTGAATTAGGGTTATGCAATCACATTATATGGCTTATATTTCATTTGATTTAAAAACAGACACATCAATGAAGCTAAGTTTCTATAAAGTTTTATCATTAAATTTAATGGTCCCATAAAAGTGAATGAGAAGTTACAGTTTTTTGGCCATCCCAGTAGTTAAACTAATAACAATACGTACTTTTTCAACCATGCATACAATAGAATTCCCAGATGATTACAACAGTTCTTGGTGGTTGTTTTCCCAGTTTTTACTTTTTTTATTTATTCTCTGAATATTTCCATTTTAACTATCCTAAATTCACCTAGGCAAATGGTAGGACTCAGAAAGACTTTTCAGGGAAGCAAAGAAATCACAAAAAAGGCAAAATAAAATGTATTCAAATATCTTTTGTTCAGAGCTGCATCAGTTTTTAGCTGAAGCAATTCTTTTGGAGAAAAATGTAAACTGCAGGGATGTGTATTCCATTAAGCTTTACTGAATTGTTCCATTAAAAGAAAAAAAAAAAAAAAAGAAAAAGTTAATATTTTACTTGGAACTTGTAGGAATATTTTTTCTTTAATTAAAATCCTCTAGGTTTTCATTAAAAAATATTTACATTTTTAATTTGCTTCTTATTTCATATATTTTTAAAAAACTGGTGGAATCAAAATGGTGTTTTTCCACTGTCCTGCTTAGTTTTTATTGAACCATTCCGTTTGATGCTCCATTCTTCATGGCCCCCTGTAAAATACCTCAGAATCAACAACAATGCATAAAGAAATAACACTCTTCTAGTTTCAATTTGAAAATTTAAAAGCAAACTAACAAGAAATCCCCCCTTGAACACTTTCCAATAAATATCCTATCTCTGTTTTTTAATAAGAGTGAGAAACAGAAATTATCATGTTAACATAAATTCAAACATAGCAGAATAATCATTATGAGGTAAGAGGGGGAAAGCAGAAAATTTGAAACTAGGTCATTCAGAA